CAATCTAAACAGTTAAGCAATGAGAATATTCGGAAGTCATCGACCACGAATCACAAATCGTAAGACTTATCGTCTTTACCAGAATTAGAAGTTAGTGAAGCTTATTTATTACGACTAGTTATTTTTTTTTTGCTCAATTATTTCCAATGAATAGCCTAATCATTTTAAAAATTAATCCAAATTTGTTTGTACTTAGTTCCCATTATTATTACTAATAGATCGTCGATTACGTAAAGTGTATAACGAACAGCTTTGATTGCGTTTAATTGATTTGCTATGCATATATTCTCTTCTCTAATGTCATTGTTTCTTTCATAAATAGTAAACGACATTGATTTGACAACATTTATGCAGGATGAAAGAAAAAGTGAGTGAAACAAGAATGTTATCGGTGATTGGTATTACCGAAGCAAGTAAAAAACAAAAGTCTTATCGTCTTCTCTTTAACGTGTGCATGCATGCTTTGCTCTTTTCTTTTTATTTTCGGTTTATCAGCACACTCTCGAATGTATTTATTTAGTTATCAAGCATAGGTTTTTGTGTAAAGACATTCACAACGTATCGCTTGGTTTTTATCTGGTAGTTCTTTGCTTCTATTCGTCTAATATACTTTTTAAGATCTAAAGCAAATGAATGCAATTATATTTGGACAAAATAAAGTTCACAAACGAAAAAGCGCTTCTGATAATGCCAGTGATTTACGCGTTATTGGAGCTGGACTGCCACGGACAGGCACTTCTTCACTCAAAGCTGCTCTTGAAATTCTTGGTTTTGGTCCTTGTCATCATATGACTGAATTATTTGATAAACCTGAACAAAGTATCTTATTTGCACGAGCATTAGATGGTTATGAAATAGATTTTCGTGAATTACTCAAGGGATATGGATCATCGGTTGATGCTCCAACCGCCTTGTTTTACAAAGAAATTCATCAAGCTTATCCTAAAGCAAAAGTTATTCTTACTGTACGCGATAATAGTGAAAAATGGCTCGAAAGTTTCAAAAATTCGATTGGGCCTGTAGGCTTAGATATTTTTTTCTATATTGCCACTTATCTTATACGACGTTTTCGTCTACAATGTATTGTTGTCAGAAAAATCATGCAAAAGTGGATGACTGAATATGGCCAAATAGGACCTCACATTCATGAATTATACAATGCTCGAGTTATACAAGAAAATAAACAAGATGAACTACTTGTATTCAATGTGAAACAAGGATGGCCGCCATTGTGTCGATTTCTGAACGTGCCAATTCCAGAGGACATTCCATTTCCGAATGTAAACGATACAAAATATGTTCAAGAAAGAATTCTTGTGGCAAGAAGAGTAGGATGGTGTACTTGGGCATGTCTTATTGCAGTGATAGCTGTTTTTATTTATTTCTTTATTTCATTCATGAAACTTTAGTAGCTCAAAAGTTACGTTATCACCATCCATAAACAATGTTGACAAACGAAGGACATCCTCAATAGTAAAAACGAAAAAACAATCTTCTTCAAGATAGAAATGTAGAGAACAATAGATAAGAGCAAATCTGATAACTCTCCTGTCGCGTAAATTTAAGCATTCCTCAATAAATTAAAGACTGTTGTTTGTTAGCATTCAATTTTTTTTGTACAAAGTCAATATTATGACGAATACACTTCAATACAAGATGGTTCTCTGGTAACGAATGCTTGTTGATCTCCAGTGTCCGTTCGAGGTACCAGAGTGCTCTGCAATAATCTTCCATATTGACATACACTACGCCAATGTTATTGTTGATTTGAGTCAAATAAGGATATTCGGAAGGAATAGAACTCTGTTGGATTTCCAGCGCTTCTTCATAGGATAATAGTGCATTTGAGTAATTGCCCGTACCCTGATGTACTGTACCGATATTACTATACGTCATAGTCAAAGAAGAGTCATTGAAAAAAATTTTTTTGATCGATTTCAAGTGCTTTTTAATGGAACGATAGTGCGTTCATCCAGTCTTGTAGATTACGATGTATTATACCAATTCGATTGCAAGTTTCAGCTAGATCAAGATGTTCAGAAGAGAGAAATTTTTGTTGAATATCTAGCGCTTGTAATGGATACTCAAATGTACTTGAGCATTTTCGCATTTTATTGTACACTGTACCAATGCTACTGTAAGTGCGATTTAGACTAGAATGATTTGGTGGGAGAGATTTTTGTCTCATTTCGAGCGCCATTTGGTAGAATGAGAACCCGTTAAAATAATCTTCTAGTTCTTGAGTAAGTTTTCCAATATTGTTATTAGTAGCCAGATGCGAATGATCTGATGGAAGACATTTTCATCGTATTTCAAGAACTTTGAGGGAGAATTCGAGAGCAATTGAATAATTTCTCAACAATGCATACGCTTTCGCGATGGTGTTATAAGTGAAAACTAGTTCATGGTGACCAGGAGACAGATTTTTTATTGGTTTCTAGTTGCTTGAGAGCGTGGGTGTGGGTGCGGATGTGGATGTGGTTGTGAATGCTGAAGAATTAGCAGATGACTGATATTTATACTCACACCCTGAACGTTTTGTATACTTTTCGGATTAGTCTATAAATTTTAATAATGATGAAATATTTCTTTCGTGTTAATAAATAGCTTTTGTAATCAAACAGCATCGAGCTTTTGTTTTTTTTTATCTCGATTATAGTTTAAACAAATAGATAGATGTTTGATATTTATCAAGTTGATTTTGAGGTTAAACATATAATGCATAAAATATTGCAATAGTAAAAGTTCTACTAAAAATAATGATGTGAGCATAAATATTGATCCTGTTACTAGCTTGCCATAATAAAACACCGATCATATTGATGAGATGTTGTACTAAACATATTATAACTAAAAAATTATTAAATAATGAAAAATAAATCTGGTATGATTAATTCGTATGACTAGAAACAATGAAATGCAGCTAATTTATGACAATAAAAACTCTGTTTGAGTTCAATTCGATTGATATTTCGATGTTGATATAAGACCAAACATGGGTGTGTGTTGTAGTATTCTTTGAGAACGATTTCTTTCTCGTGTTTCCTCATCCAATTTTCCGCGAGAATCAGAAATGGAGATTCCTGTGAGAAGACATTAGGAACGGAATCGATATCAGAAAAGGACGTTCTTGAAAATCGTGTTTTTTTTTGTTTTGTTTTATATATATATATACTGCAAACTTTCCTCTTTCTAACAAAAAATGTTGTAGTCAATCCAATGTTACATTTTTGAGAAAAAACTAGACAATTTTATGCATTATTTATTAAATTGCAATTCAATTATCACAACTCTTACCTTCTTCGTCTTTCTCATCTTCGAAAGGATTATTATTTTGACTATTTCATAATATAGCATTATTTTTATCTTCTCATCTAGAATGTCTTTGCTTTTTCATCAGTGTTGTTGATTAGTTATTCTTTTTTTCTCTTTTCAACTGTTCAACTAATGAAGGAAATAATTCTCCTAGTTTAACTTTGGTCGAGAATGTGGTTGTGAATGTCGATGTTGGAGTATGTGCCCTTAAAAACGTCACCCAAACCCCCATTGAGTTCTTAAATGGACTGTTTACACGTTGAGTTTGATCGATGATCGAATCAACAAACGAATACGAGAAACTCTCGAATGCGTCGCAGAAAAATATGCAAGTTTACTAATGTTGATGTGCTTCATTTATGTCAACATTTGTGACTTGAGTGCGTTAACAAAGGTAGTCATTTTTTTATTGATAGTGACGAAAGTAACTTTATCTTATCATTTCTGTTGGTGCAATAGAAAATGTGCACGTGGAGAATAAATTTGAGTTGAGTATGTTGGTTGTTTGGTTCGCTGCTCATTAATGCATAATAGAGCAACTCCGATTCGCACAAGGAACTCGTCTGCATTGTCATCGGCAGTAGCTGACTCAGTGAGTGATTTATACAAAGCCTGTCGTGATGGTGATGAAGATCTAGTGCAAGGTCTACTGGCTTCTCTTGATTATAAGGATGCGAATCGTCTTGAATCGAATGGAAGTAGTGCATTGCATGCGGCAGCATTTTTTGGACACGCCAACATAGTTCGTCTTCTTCTCGATTTTCATGTCGATCGTCGGCAACGAAACCGTTATGGGTTGACGGCTTATCAAGAGGCGAAAACGGATGAGATTCGTCAACTTTTTCATCGACCGATTGGAGTACGTCGACGATTTTGTGATGATCAATCTTCGTTACTGGAGTTTTGCGATGAGCATAATTCGAACGAGGCGAACGAACAGGCATCTACGTCTTGGGTCAATCAATTAGAAACAGATCGACGAATATCTCAGTATCGACAACTGTTATCGATGGCTAAATATGTTTGGAGTTCCGAATGGGGCCAGAAGTACTTCTCATTCTACACGCGATTCATCGATCAAAACAACACGATAAATCTAAAAAATTTCGTTCGTCGTTTGGAACAGCTCATCGATGGAAATTTTCCATCGAATTCTGTTCAATATCCAGCAGTCCGTACGTTGTTCAACGAATATCAGCAGACCGGACGCCCCGAGCCGCTCCTTACTCTCTATACGCTTGACTCACCTTTTTACACTCTCATGACAGACAGTATAGATAATTCGAGTGTACTCATATTTCTTATTTGGAAAAATTTGAATGCTCTTACACCACGCTTCTTTCGAGGAACATCATACCGTGGTTTGTCAATAACGCAAGATAATCTACGCGCTTATCAATGGGCTCTGGAGAAAAACGATCGAATTATTGGAATTTTTCGATTCTGTTCATCATCGACTGAACGTAGTGTAGCAGAATTCTATGGAGATATGGCATCATCTGACCGTATTCCAATATTAATGGTCTTCAATTTCGATCGTCCATGTAATGGAGCCATTCAGTTGTATTCGTCTTCAAACGATATTCCCTGCATCTCGAACTTCGAAAATGAACGAGAAGTCTTAATCCTACCTGGTACTCTCTTTAGAGTTTGGAAAATTGAAATGGACGAACGCACTGGTCATCACGTCATCTATCTCAATCAGATACCAGAAGCCGAAAATCCTGCATTGCATTGCCTCGGAAGCATCCTTTTCGAAGCATGTAGAAGTATAACCAAATGGTTCTCTTTTCTTCATTAAAATCTTATTACTTCTTCACCGATTCAATGCATTTACTACCCAAAAGTGGTACATTTCACAGACACAAACCATAGTGCCTCTAAGAATCTAAATAAATATTATTTCATCCTAAATATTTTAAAGAAATCTATACGAATAGTTCAATTGGCACTATGCGTCGATGTCAGAAAAACTACCATATACGAAGTTGACATAAGTTTACAAAGTTTTTGTTATGATGAGGAAAAGGATGATAGAATAATGATTTTAAGAATGTCGATTCGCTTCTTTTCTTTGTCAGCAGTAGATCTCCAAGCACCTCTGTGTGCATTGCAGGAGTTATGCGTGAATTTGCTCTTCTTCAGCTCCACCATCGACAATAGCAGATGGTGTTCTCAAGTTCAGCCATGACAGAACTCGTTTAGAAATGTGGGTGTTGATCTTCTCTTAAGATATACTCGCACCCATTTTCATACATACTCACATTCGCACTCTCAACAAAGCCAATATGTCCTAATATTCTTAGCTCACAAAAGTTAATATTCCAAGTAGTACACATAAATCAATATGTTCTGATATAGCAAATTTTAGACGGGTAAATAAGAAATACCTTTAATACTATTTTCTCCTATGATTGATTCAGTAAATTAGAAAATTTTTTCTGGCACATAATTTTGCCACTAGAAGATCTTATCGATAAAAACAAATATTGCCAAACTGCGATCACGTTTAGTTATATTTCGTCTGTTGAAAGCAATGGAATAAATATAATGTCAAATCTATATTTGTTTTTGATATTAAATTATTGAACACACTAAAATACAATGTGTCATATACGAATTTGTCGCGTTCTGCCTGCTAAATATTCATTCACCGTTTTTTTTTGCACACATAGCTCCATGTAGACAACTCGATTGAACGTACGAAAGTTATATATTTATGTATTCATTTTTTTTCTAGACTATTCCTCGATTATTCTTTAATCGAGAACATGCCGATCCTGATCAATGATCAAGAGAGGACTACCCTGAAGTGGTCGAATGGAGATTGGGCCAACTCGAGGCTGGGCAGATCCCAAGATCTGACCTGCTTGAGTTTCCAGATTATGAATAATTAAATGGAAGAAACTTTTAAAAAAATATCAGAATTTTCTTTTACACAAAAAAGAATGAAAAATGTATTGCATACTATTGTCGGATTTTTATTAAAATGTCCATCACCATTTTTTGAATAACTCTCGATAGGTTATAGCTATCGAGGTCAGATTTTCGCCATTAGATAGAGCAATGTTGAAGACGCCTATCTGTCTAGTATTCATTGAGTTCGAAGAAATTTTTCACTGATATTTGCCGATGAACATTTTTTTCGTTGTCCGTTTCCACAAATGTTCGTCGCAACCTAGATTCAAATTACACCAAAATATAGCCTAAAGAATGTTGTATTTCCAGTATAGTTGTTTGGTTCTTTCATTCTCACCCTAGATTCGTGCTTCAAGAGAAGTGTTGTGAAATCTGAACATTTTATAGATAATACGGCTCTCTTTGGGCTGCATTTTGGTGTAATTTAAGCCTAGGTTACCCCAGAAAATTGTTGAAATGGGCAACAAAAGAATGTTCATCGGGAAATATTCCTGAAAAATTTCTTCGAACTCAATAAATATTAGACAGATAGGTGTCTCCAACATTGTTTTATCTAATGGCGAAAGCTCGACTTCGATAGCTATAACCTATCATAAGTTATTCAAAAAATGTTGATAAGCATTTTAATAAAAATTCGACAATAGAAATGATTCGAATCATAGATAATCAATTCGTCTCTTACTTTCGTTACATTACAGAATAAAGCAATATTTTTCAAGATTATGATCGATTGAAGAAGTAAGTGCACCATCTCAGCTGAAACAATTTGAATACTAGTTCCAACTTTATTTTATTTGTCGAACTTTAACTTAATGGCAACTTCATGATTAACAAACACGAATAATCAAAAAAAAACATCATGAAAAATTGGGTTTAAGCGTTTGAATCTCGAGAAAAGCACTTATCTCCAATGTGCATGATTAAAATCGATTAAGAAGTAATAATAGATTAAAATTGATTCAAAAGTACCCATGTAACAAAGAAAGATCGGAAAAATCTGATTTCAATTGATTTTTTTCTGATTAAAAATTGATTCGAAACCGATTTTTCCCATCTTTTTTTTTATATGAGTGGTGTCATGTTTCATTTCTTTTTTATAGGCAATCTGATATGGTTGACATTTAAAATGCATCTCTATTAATCGTGTTATTTTCGAGTGGCATTGTACATGAGTAATGAAAAAAAGAATCAATACGAACTAAATAAAGTTTACTGATAAAATACATTTAATATTATTGTTACTTGATTGATTGCACTCTCTTAGTAACACTTATATCTAATCTTTTGTTTTCACACCACAAATCTATACATACAATCTACCTATACCAGTCACACACGTATTTCAACAAACAAGTTAAAACGAATATTAAGATTGTCTGCTCGTTGATTATACAATAGTCGATATGGGCTATCTACTTAGTATCGCTTTTCTCACTTGCCTGTGTTGCCAATATGGATTTAATGAAGTTCAAGCTGCACCAAAAAAATCAGGCACGAAGATGCTCACCGATTTGGCTACCATTCTACGAAAGGCTAACCTCAATGTTGTTGAAGAATCTGGCTGGAAAACACGTGGTCATGGTGCGATGGGTTCAGTAAAAAGTATTGTTATTCATCACACAGCAGGTCCTGCCACAGGTGAATATCCATCTCTACGAGTAGTACGAGACGGTCGTGTTGGTTTGTCCGGTCCGCTTGCTCAACTTGGACTTGGTCGTTCAGGAAAATGGTACGTTATTGCAGCTGGAAAGGCCTATCATGCTGGTAACACCAAAGATGATTCATTATACGGAAATGCAAACGCAATCGGTATCGAAGCGGAAGGCAGCGGTGTTCCAGCCGATAATACTGGTCATAAGCACTGGCCAGAAGTGCAATGGAAGAGTTATGTGCGGGGTGTTAAAGCTCTTCAAGCAGCTTATGGCGTGCCAACTTCACGCGTTGTAGGTCATCGGGAGATAGCAAAACCTGCCGGTCGCAAGGTTGATCCTAACTTCTCGATGACTGAGTTCCGTGCTGCACTTAATAAGTGACAGAACAATAAACATCTCTCATCATTGATTTTTGGAACATTCATGAATTAAGCAAGGAAAATTTGCAAATATATATAAGTATATCTATTTTTGCCTCTTTTTTGCTTTTGTGTAGCTCTGGTCATAATCAAAGTCAAGAAGATAGTTATATAGATTACAAGAGCCCTAAGAAGATATATGCTGTAAATCATGACTCGTTGGAGATATCGTTGACAATGGTGCATGAATATTTGGGTACCGATCCTATAGTGCAATCGCACCATATCGAGAGCACAATCATTTCATCGCAGCAGGATATGTTGAACGAAAGAGACTATTTTGTTGTTGCGGCAAATTCAGTATTGGTAGAGAAAGATTCATCTTCAAATCAAATGGATTCATCGCTTGGATATCGTGATTTAAAAACTTTTATATCAATCTGATAAAAGAGAACAGAAAGATGATTTTGTTTAACAATTTTCTCTCACCGTCTTAACAGAGTTCGACTTAAACTCTGATTCATTCCGTTACCCTGTAAAGACGCTATTGTTACGCTTGAAAGAAGAATGGAGGAACATTTAATCCACGATTCATTGGTAACTTAATACGTTGTTTAGAAAGACAATTCCATAAACTAAAGATGAGTCAAAATGATTTTCCAGGTTTTTTTAGGCTCTTTTTTCTTAAGTTAGACTTGAGCAGAAGATTCAATTCTGATGCTGAAGGATAATAGATTTAAAATTTTGATTTCATTGATATGTTCTGTTAGATAAATATGGATCATTCTTGCGTTGTATTTGGCTGCATACTATTCTAAGATATTATAAAAAAAGGAGGAAAACTAATTATTAATTTTTATCAAACATTTCTATCTACGGAACTATATCAACTTTGACAGTTTGATATAGAAGAAGTTTGCTATTATTGAAAAGAATAGTTTGTGAAGCTTGAAGTTCGACACCCTCTTTTTTTATGTTTTGTAATTATATTCCTTGATAAACATATGAAATATGTAAGCTTAATTGAAACGAGAAAATATTCATTTTTTGTTCATTTCTGACTTTCTAATTGAGATATAATCGATTTTGTGGAATCCAATACTTGGCATGTAACACCAAAATCACTGTTAATAAAATTCTACTATTACGTGTTGTGTTTAATTCGATCTAGAAAAAAATATTTTTTCGGTTTTTTTTTCATGAATAAATTGAATTACGAACAATTTTACTGAAGGACTTGTCTTTTACTAAAAATTCTTTTTTTTTCAGAGAAAATTAGTGCAATGAATAAAATGATATGAACAGTAAAATTTAATGAATTTTCAATTTTTATGTGAAAATAAAATTCAAAAGATAAATAGTTTCATAACCTCAGCATTAGATCATATTGAATATGAGTCTTGAAAAGATGTAAAGAAAAAATCTTCTAAACTTGTTTGTCCAAATCCTAGCATTCACTTATATGGAGATACAAGTCAATGTTAAAATAAAATCTTATCAGGCGCTTAAATCCTTAGATTTCTATTAAGGTCGGAACAAGAACAAAGTAAAATCTTGAGAAATCTTTCCGTTTATGACTGTAATTATTTTACTTAATATTCACAGTAAAACTTGTTGGGACTCAGAGATTTGAAATCTTGAACGGATCCTAAACGAAAACCAGCTAAAATCTTGATGAAATCATTTCACCAATTTTGATTACGATCCAGAACCAAATCAGTCATAAATCTTGATAGAATCCGCAAGATCAAGTTTTGCACAGAATGTTATTGGCAACTATGTTTGCTTCTGAAATGTTCATCACAGGACCAGATAGAAAACGAGGCAAGATTCACCAGTTTAGGATTTTCACGGGTCTTGTTTTTTTTTGTTTGTAGAATCGCTTTCTGATTTAGCTGAAAATCCTGAGTAGAATCGAGAATGAGTCCTGGTAGAATCCTTCATTCTTAGTTGATAAAAAGATCTAAGTAGGTACTTGAAGAAATCCTGAAAAAGAATCCTTCCAAACTTTCTTCAGGAATGAACAGGATTGAGGGTAGGACAGGATAACAATTTTTTGAATAACAACAGATTCAAACTGTAAATTTTGAATGACCGTTATAGTTTTCTTGCATTTTATATCTGATCGCACAAATCTTCGTTACAGCTCTTGACTACGAGTAAATATATACAATTCACGTTTAATGGTCGCTCATATGGCGACCATATACGTACAAGTTACATAGCCCTATTGTAAACATAGAGAATTAAACGAGCAGTATTAGAGAACGCGAAATAAAATATTACCCTAGTTTAGCATTGGCAAATGAAAGGAAGACTCGGAAGTCCATAAAAGTTCAAAAGAATTCTTGACAGACTTGAAAAGTTCGAAGTTCTCATGTTTGCCCTTCCTCTTATATTTGTCAAAAACTCAAGATACGAAGTTTTGACGTAGAATTTAACCCGCGGATTGATTTAATCCGCTCAAAAAATCTTTACTTTCTTCCTTAATTATTTTAATTGATTACTTGATGTATTTTAATTTTTATCATTACACAATAATGTAACGTTTTCGTCGTAGTAAACAACTTCTCCACATAGAAAGTACAAGAGTATTGGTGTGAGTGATGTAAATGTTGGTCTTCTCTTCATCCGTATCGTATTAACCTGAATACTATATATACTTTAGAATAGATAAAATATAATCGAAATTTAAATAATTCTTCGTGTTTTTATTTAAAGATGTAACATTTTTTCTTATCAACATCTTTTTATATATGATACGCTAACAGCTAAAATATGGTATTGATAGCCTACTGAAAGTTCGAGATTCGAACTATTATCAACAGGACAAGTCGAATTTATTTATCTTAACAAATAGAAATGCAAACAAAAACGGAGAGAATCAATAAATTATTCTATCGAAATACTAATCCATGTGATTCGAATCGGTCAAAAACCGCCGGTATACCAATCGGTATAATGTGTTAAGTCGATTTCGATGTTCACCGATAATATTGGTGCCTTTGAATTGCCTGTACTAGCCAAAGAGCCCAAGTCGGTCACAATTCTGAGATAAATTTTTTATTATAGATGACACTGCAAAAACTTTTATTAATAAAATATATTCTGAAACTGGTTTTTCTCTCGATGAATTCAAATTTGAGTAGAAAACACTCTCTGCAATCGTTTATAGCTGCAACTAAAAATTATAAGTGCTCCCACGTGTGTTTGATTATGATCAAACTGCGTCGTATTTGCTAACAGAAACGACATAGGTGAGATTTTCATTATGAATTACTAATCATTTTTGAGATTTTCCAAAAAACTTGATCAAAAGTAATGAAAAAAAAATAAACAAAAAATTCTAAATGATCTAAAAAAAATTAGAAAAATTTAAAAAATATTAATAATCGAAATCTAACCTAGGATTTGAGTTCATGACTCTCGAAAACTTCCTCGTCTCCGTTTTCATTGTAAGAAAACGTGCATTCAGACTGCATACTCTATTAGTTGAAGCTCCATGAGAAATGAACCACACTATCACAAAGGTTTCCTTTTGTACGATCCCACTGTGGCTAAGTTTTGGTGCTAGAATGTAACCAATTACAAGTAATGAGGAATACTTACGATTGGTTGACTTCCGATACAGCGAATCGTACGATGTGAGTAATGTGACCTAGTTGTATTGATCTGCGTCACAGTAGCTGCAGTTGTTGACAGTGCTTTATATTTCGATGAAAATTTCGTAGTTACGCGGATCTACAACGCAATTGTTAAAAAAAAGAGGTGACATGAGTTCGCGCTGGTAGATCATCTGTATACAGTTGATTCTTATGATTATCGCAGTATACCTACGGTATTGCGGATAAATATTTAACATAGAAAGTAATTTGATAATTCGATATCGAATTTTTTTATATCAATGATATAGTTATTAAAATCAAAAACAAATGAGAAACTTATTATTAATTTGATGATGTTTGTAAAGAAAAAGTTCTTACACAATTCAAATTTTTACTGTAAGAAAATATATGATCAATTTAAGACTATCATAATTTTACTCAAAGAAAAAATAAATAAATACAATACAATTGCAAATATCTACGTATATATATATATATATATATCAATTGGTTTCAAAAGAAATTTTTCTTAACTAGTTTCAACATGTCTTTATTTGAACATTTTTCTATTGATTTAATATAAAAAAAGATTATTTATTTTCACGTTATTTTTTTCAAATATGGCGTATTTTTTATGATATCACACAATTATATTGATTTATCAGACAACAAAACAATCATCTAGTAATATGTGGATTTTCCACGTGCTTAGAGTTACATTCAACGTGCCGTAGTGAATGCAGTTCTCTATTTTGCACGCATTGCCCTCAGAAAAAAAAAGAACGAATAAAAGAAAGAGAAAAAGTATTTCAGTTGCGTATTATTCTTGTTACTAGTAAGGCAAAAGAAACATGCAGTCTGTTTTGCACTCAAGTCGTATTTTACCACAATTATCATATCGTATTCTTTGCAATTCGATTCGATTGCAATCAAGTTCATCGATTTTAGCTACACTCAAAGCAGAACATGAACAGATAAATGCAGCTTATAAAGTTTGTTATAAATCGAATTAGATCATGATTAAAAAAATGTTTCTTTAAATCGTAGAACTATGTTGCAGCAGAAGGTAATATAGGTGAACAACAACGTTGGGCTAATGAATTTCGATGGGAACTAGCTCGACATGCTGTTGGTGAAGAACTTGTTATTTATCCAGCTTTTGAAAAAAGATTAGGTGCTGAAGGAAAACGAATGGCTGATAAAGATCGAGCTCAACATCAAGAAGTATATAGATTTAAATTTTATATTTTGTTATTCTTTTTTTTTTTTTTTTAATAGGTTAAAAATCTTTTACATTTACTTGAAACATCATCCGTAACTGATGATTTTTACCGTTCATCATTTGATAAATTGATGAAAAATTTGAATGACCATATTAAAGAGTATGATTCTTAAATATTTTTTTACTTTTAATATTTTTTCTAATTTAGGGAAGAAGAACAAGATCTTCCTAAATTCGAAAAAGCTATTTCGCGTGATGAAAGTGCTTCATATGCTCGATCATTTGAACGAACAAAATGGTTTTCTCCAACTCGGTATTTTACTCTTTTTATTTGTTCCTTTGTTTTCTTTTTTTGTTCTATTATCTTCGATTTATTTATAGAGCACATCCAAATGCACCAAACAAACCACCTTTTGAAACTGTTGCTGGTCTTTTAGCTGCGCCATTAGATAAACTTCGAGATTTATTCGAAAAATTTCCCCAAACAAAATGACAATTTTTAGAAACACCCAAACCATTATTGTATAAAAAAAACTAAACTTAACATAGTTGTAGTTTTCTTTTTCTTTTTCTTTTTTTGCTTTATTTATTATAATAAACAAGCTTTTTTTTTTCTGTTAAACAAATGTGATTTGTTTTTTTTAATTCGGATAAAAAAGAGTTGCCGAGAAGTTTTTCCTATAATATTAAATGATTGATGCGTTCCAGGTACTATTAGTATTTCTAACTGTAACCTTGATCAAATATTTGTACTTTAAATTATCATAATATATTTTTTTTAATAATAATTAAATTTAATAGATGTTATCAACGTATGGATAGTACTAAAAAATAAGTCATATTCGTAGGCTTTAATTATTGATATGTGAACGTCACTTTCTGACTACGTAGTTATTATGAAGTCTGATTTGATCCATATTTTAAGTTTTTGCCTTTGAATTAGAAAATTGAGCATATAAATTTTCACATGTAGAATTTGTGTTGAAATTTTATTCTATATTCGAAAATAAAACAATTAAAATAGACAAGATACATGTTGATCTTGTTCATATTGGATTGATTCTTTTGTCAATATCTAATAAAGTATATTATCTTTTGCATTCGATTGAGCTTCTTTTTAGAGATTTTTAGTAATCTTGTATCTCATATCAACCATTATTTTTATTTTGAAAACGACTGCAATTTCAGCTTTGTATCTATCTCATCATCTTCACTGAAGTAAAATATGAGATAAAATTTTGACTACAAAGTTTCATGGTTTCCAATCAAACGCGATAGCTTACAACATGTATATTTTTGAAAAATTCAAATTTGCTTGCAAAATATTTTTCAAGTCCTTGTATATTATGCACAAACATGCAAGTTATTTTAAGTATTTCCAATTTTGACAACTGAATACAAGACAATAGTACATACCAAGAAGTATAGGTCATAAATACTTGCATGAAAACATAAATTTTCAAAGTTCGAAGTAAAATATACGAGATTATGCTCAATTGTTATCCTTATAAATATTTACATGCTATTCTTTTGCGTATTTACATATGACATATGACGCTTATATCACTACTAAAGTATTTGTTCTATGTGTATTTTCAAGATGACCAGCATTTCTCTTAATTCAGCATGTCTAGCAATGCAAAAAAGGTAGTATTTAAGAAAATTACAAGTAAGGCGACTTCATGTTGACATGCAAGTTTTTTCTGATCTTATAGCATGCATTCTAGTATATATGCAAGAATTGAATTTTTTTGGTTGTATGTATCTTTATTTATTTCTCATTAAAAAAGGATAATATGGCTCTTCAGTTTTTTAAAATTTTTCAATAGCTATTAACATTCACGTATACGCATGTCTCATAGTTGCAAATGTTATATTAGGATAAGACTACGATGTATTCGTGCATTTTTATGCATTCGCAATAGGTCTTTATCAAAAGATGTGTTTATTCTTATGTATATGAATACGAATAGGTGAGAAGCATGATCTATTATAGTCATCATTGAATATGGTTAATTATTATGTACATTATTTTGAACTACTCTAAATAGAAGAAATCATCCGAGATCGATCATATGAAACGTTTATAGGTCGATAAAGTATGTCCGTATACACTTATAGAAATCGTTGATCGTCTTAACTAAACCATGAAACTAATATAAACAATTGAATTATACTTTTCATTAAAATGTTATGTATTTTCCATTGATTATCAAATATTATTATTGAAATGAGAACATTGAAAAGTGTCAATCTCAGTTAATTCTGTTCTTCTGATATAACGGCATGGCCACCCATCGCATATCAACTGGGTAGAAATTTTTTATTTCGTGTAATTCTAATAAAAAATACGCCATTCAAAAGAGCACGAAAAATTGAATCTAATGATATAGTTTTCACGGAGACGTAGTTCCAAGTCCCTAGCAACAATTTTAAAAAGAAACATTTTCTAGTAAGCTTCATCATAGTGCTTCGTTCTGTGACTATTTTTTCTTTCTGTACATATATATTAACGTATAGAACTGTTCGTGTATCACATATATATATATACGATTGAAAGAAATAAAAAAGCATCAATCAGTGTATTTCTTTTTCAAGATTTATTTAATAAATAAAAATAGATTTAAAATGAATCTCCTTTAAGTAAACAAATATGAATAAAAGAGAAATGAAAATCTCTTTTCTAATGGATTGAAAATAAGATGATACATAAATGAAGAATTATAACGCCTAGTAGATTTAAAAAATTGGAACAATCCACTCTCCTTGTTCGTCTAGCAGGCCTATCTTTGGTTTTCAGCCAAATCTCCAGGCATCTCGAGTCAGAGCAGGCCAGAAAAAAGTGGCCTATTGACAGCTCTGTTATAGTACAAACTAGCGGTCGAATTTACAACAAAAAAGTTTCAATTAATATTAAAAGAGAAAAAAATTAATTAATAGAAAATAAAATATTTTCTAGTATTATTAAAATGTTTTATATAGTAATCATGAAAATTTTCAAGTTCCCATTGAAGAAAAAATCGACTCCATATGACATTATTTACCTTAAATTTTATTATTTTTTCTTTATTAAAACAAAGAAAAAGATAAATAAACATATGCGAGATATTGTGTTAAAATAAAAAAGATATTCAATAATAAATAGTCCTTCATCAATGTAATGTTACACTCGATATATTTAATATGACTTACTATTTTGTTTCTCACATATTTATATAAAAATTTCATCGATTTTTTTTTTCTTTCATCCTAGATATATTCTATTCAGATGAGTCTATGTTATTACTGTCTATAACCGAAGTTGTCTTTCATAACATGATTGAAACTCCTATTAAAACAAAAAATCATGTTCCAGTTTATGAAATCTATCACTTTGACATCAGATGGACTAGTTGAAAACTTTTTCTTACTTATCATAGAATGTACAAGTAAATATTGTCTAGAGATAAAGTAGTTTCTATCTAAAAGTATCTATACGGATCTATTTATCTTACTGAAGACATACGAAAAAATGTCAGATAATAACAGACACATAAAATCTAGTGCTTATTATTATGAAAAGTCGTTTCGATATATTGTCAGATGAATAGTTGATGTAATGAATACATATACGAATGTAGAACAGATTGGTTAACATGGTACAACAATCAACAATGTTCTTATAGACAATTATCAAAATCTTCTATTTTTATTAAATTGTTTCTTATTGATGGTACTGGTTTTGATTGATTTTATTTATCACGTAAAAATAATGTATATATATTATTTGGTTTATTAAAGTTTCTTATGTCAGTTGCTAGTTCTATTTAGACTCGATTAGCTTTAATTATCAAGAGTGAAACATCAATAAGCATTGCTAGTTATTTTGGGCCTTGTTTAACTCTAATATCAGTTATTTAGTGGTTTATCGATTGAATTCGAATGATGTATAATGATTTTTCAGATGGTAATGATGCTCCACTTATTTAATTTTTTTTGCTTTATATAAAGATAAATGCTTTCATGTATCTATAAATTTATTTGATATATTCATCTAAAAAAGAAACGTATCGGAAGATCTACAATAATTAGTCGCAATACTGGAAAATAAAATCAATAAAAAAAGAAAATTTCGTAGCATTATAGAGAAATATGTAACTCAGGAAGGTTCACAAAATAACTAACAATCTATTCAAGGATAAGGAATATTAGATATGAATATAAATACGAATGGTTAATAAATTCTTCTAATTGAGTATAGAACTCATGCCTAGAAATTGACGTATGTAGACAGTGAATTAGGAATCATTCTTCTGTCAAACATGCGATCAATTGTCGCTTTCCCTAAAATTCTGATATCTATCTATCGTATGAATTAAAATAACTGTATTTTTTGCAAAAACAAGGATTTTAAACAGAAAAAATTACTATTTTCTAAAAAATTCGATATGCTCTATGATTTGGACAGAAAAATCTTAGCAATTAGCGTCATTTCTACGGGATTGTAGTGTGAAATACAATGTAGCAGCTGTTGCTAATCATCAAAAGATTGTTTTTATTATGTCTGTCTTGGAACACATTTCTTCATCCTCATTTTATTAAATTCTCCAAAAAGACAATGAAGATATAGTATATTGTAACGAGTCGTTATTGATATACGGCCTGTAATCATATATCAACAACATCTGTCACGGTGTGTGAGGAGGACAGAGGAGAGACAAATTTCTACTCTTTATATTTCAACATTCCTTTTAGATCACATTTCAGAAAATATTGTCACTCTAGGAAACCAGCATAAATTTCTTATAAGCATATTCTGAATCAGCATGATTGATAATCTATAATCCAATAGCTTGTGTTAAAAAAGTGATTGATCATTTGAAAATATTCTCTCGTAATAGAGATTAGAATAACTAAAGATGATGACATCGAAATCAATTGATATCAACTGCCCTCTGTTGGTTTATTTTTCGTTAACTATGATATTCTATGAATATGAATCGTCACACAAAATGAACAAAGAAAGAATCGCAATGAATATGTTCATAAAGAAAGAATCGACTGTATATTAGTATAACGTATTCTTTCTATTGTATGTTTTTGTTCGAATCAATATTTATACATGGATACAATTGTCGAAGTACATTCTGTAACACGGACAACTCAAAAACAAACAAATAAAAAATCTCATGAAAAAATTGATATGAATCGTATAGATTATATAACAAATATATTTACTGAAGTTAAATCACAATTACATGCTCGTCTTGTAACAAGTGTTCTTGATATTGTAAAAAAGAATGATAAATTTCGTCGTATAACAAATCGATGTTTTGAACATATTTCAATAATGGCTTTATGTATGGGTAAATATTAAATTCAATATTTATATATATCAAAAAAAAAAAAAAATAGAATATTATTATTTTTTTTGTCGTACAAAATTTAGATTCGAATATATCTGAACATACACATTTATTTGATGAACTTCATGAACAATTATCTTCAAAATTTAAGTCTATTGTTATAAGATTACAAAATACCGAACAATATTCATCTATTCATAATATGCTTAAAGCTACAAATATTGAATTAAATAAAGTAAAATTTATTTTATTTTTGTGATCAAATAATAAAATTATCTTTTTTGTTTAGTTTTATTCAGAAAAAGATAATGAAAATAAAAATATTTATTTTCAATTAAGTAAATTTATTACAAATTATAATCAGGTTGAAATTTTTTTTTTTGTTTTTATTGCATGAAAATTGATTTCTATTTATTGATTTTAGTTAAAAGAAAATGAAAAACGTTCATTAATTTTTATTATACCAGAATTTGAATCAATTAATATAACAATATTTGAAAATTTTATTAATTTACTTAGGTATGATGAATAAATTTTTTATTTTAATTTAAAGAATAAAAATAAGAATTTTTATTTAATTTAGTTTACAAATAAAATCAATTTCAATATCATTTGTACTTGGTTTATCAGGTGGTGATCATTCATTACAACGAGTTGCATCAAGTCGTATTGCATCAAAATTATCTATTGATACAATTTATGATTCTAGTGCAAGAAAATATTATGAATATATTATTAAATCAGTACGTTCGTTTTTTTTCTTTTTGAAAAGAATATGAAACACAAAAAATAATCTTTATCTATTTGTTTTATTAGTTATTTCTTTCAGAAAATAATAATCATAATCAATTTACAATAACAGCTGAACAACTTCAGTTTATTGATAATGGTTATTTTGAAACATTTTCATTAGCATGGCTTGAACATGCTCTTAAAGTTAGTAGAATTTCTTAAACTAACGGGTGTGTCGGAAGTTTTGTTTTAAAATAAAATATTCCTTCATTTTCAATGAAAAGATTTTTTCGCGAAATTATGATTTTCCATAGAACCACATTGGTTGTGCTTGCAATCTTCGAACGGACCGACATTTCTACTATAAACACTTGGAAGTATTCTCCAAACGTGAAATCAATCGTTTTCATTTGTGACCTTCCTATTGGGATTTATAGAACTCTGAATACCAGCATCCCGATTTAGTTCCGAATATTCACATATTTCTTTCATAAAAAAAACCGAGATTTTTGAAAAAGCTAAAAATCATCTCTGATGAGGAAACATTTTCAACTGATCGATCACTCTCGAATTCGGACTCTGTGTGTAAGGTAGACTCCAAGACGGTATGGAAAACATGAAAAGAATAAGTTCCCTTAGGTTTTTTGTTCAGAGTTATAGGCATTTTACTGGAATTTTAGCCATGGGTATTGTATAAACTTTCAGTTCAAAAGAATATTTCCTTTCCGAAATATTGAAGTCTCAAAACTCACTCATATTCCACGGAAAACACTAGAATTTTCTGTTTTTTGGAACTTCAATATCTCGAAAAGGAAATACTCTTTTGAATTGAAAGTTTATATAATGCTCGAAGCTAAAATTTCAGTAAAATGTCTATAGCTCTGAATAGAACGTTTAGGAAGACTTTTAAAAAAATTGATCTATTGTAAATATGAAAGAGAATAAACATTTATTTTAGTTTATTGCTTTTTCTGAAACAAATTCTCAACAAACAAATCAACTTAACATTTGTCTATTCAATGCTATATATGTTTCATGTAATCAATTACCAAATTATCCACTTGGTCGTTATCGTTCATCATTTTATGCATCATATCTATCAAATACTCCTATTTTTAATGAATTAACATTATCCATAAATTCATCTACAGTTCATCAACTTCATACATGTCTTAATTCATTTATTGAACATAAATGTAATGGAAATAATTTATGTATGAAATATTGTCAATTAGCTAAAAAGATTTTTATTGAACAACAACAATCTATTGTTGATGATACACAATCATTAAGTAATACATTACGTTCAGTTGGTGATAGAAAATTAAATCGTTATCGTGAACAAGTTTTTCTATGGTTTAAACAAATTTGTGAAATATTTATATTACCAATAATAAATACTTCAACTAAAATAAATAATAATCTTTTACATGAAAGATTAATACCTATGACTCGTGGAATATTTATTCGAGAATTAATAGATACTCAACATTGGACACGAGAACAAACACCTGATTTAGCATTACTTTATCGTATTTATTCAGAATCTGGTACTAAAATTCCACTTAGTGATTGGTTTGATGTAATAATTTATTGAAATATATCAAAGAATAAATTTTTTCTTTTTTCTCTAGTCATTTGCAGTATTATTAGAAGGACAAGAAATCATTGTTAATGATAAAGATAAATCAATATTGTAAGAATTACAAAAAGAAAATTTATAGAAAAATTCATATTTTTGAAATTTTCTAGAGCACGTTTTATTCATGGTTTAGCTGAACTTGATTATCTTGGTTTTACAAAAATATCATTACAACGTTCATATCATGCGACAAAATTAACTTGGGATAGTTAGAGTGATATTTTTTTTTCTTATTGATAAATAATCTATAATGAATGTACTTATTGCAAGAAATAAAATATAAATATAGTAGATCTTATTATTTTTCTATTTCAGTTAAAATAAAAAGTATAAGTCTATAATTAAAAGAAAAATCGCTTTTTGTTTTTGATTCATTCCGAACATCAATGTGGATTGAATGATTTCATTTATGTTTCTTTTTTTTTTCTCGAATGAATATTTTTAGTGTATAAAAAAGAAATAGTGCATTGAATATGACATACAGTAGATAACAAAATTATTTAATAAGATTTATTTTTAATATTGTTTTTTTTTTTTCGTTATCGTAAGCATTAAAAACAATTGAAATAGTTATTCGAAAATAAAAAATGGCTTCCAAAAGGAATACAAGGAAATAAAGATTATTACGAGATTCGCACAAAGACAGGGATTTCAGGAAATAGAAAGGTCAGTTTTTCAACATCTAGAAACTCAAAAATATAATTTTCTACAAAATGAGACGTCTTCGAGTTCTCTGCGACGTTCTTCAGCTGAGATATCTTTTGACCTTCAATCAAGTTGCTGTATCTCAACTAGAAAACAAGGCCTTGAAATTTGATTTAAATTTGGACCAAAGTAATATAAATAGTTTGCATTTCAATAACGATCATCAAATTGCAAACTTTATGTGGATTTAGTCTAAAAGCAACTCATTCTCAAATCTAAACCTAATTCCAATTCTATTCTAGGTTTGTTGTATCCCTATTAGTATCGATTCTTCCATTGCTATTTTCAACTAATAGGATGTTAATCAATAACTAACGCAGGTTGATTGACGTTGATGGAACAAAGATGCTATTATTTCTTTGGAAGAAAGTCTGTCAATTTTGTCAGAATAATTAAAAACGATAAGAAGCCTTTATTTTGTTTTTGTACGTAGATTCCTAAATGAAACCAAACGTTTAAGTAATTAATATAAAGATGGTTTCATTTTGAACAGGAAAGAGTTAGATTGATTTCATTCGTGTTATATTTTCAAGAAAAGACACTACTCCAACTATAATTAGTCATTGCATCATACGACGATGAGTTCTGCCTAACTGATAAAAAAACAAAAGAAGTGAAGAGGAAAAAGAAACCAATACTTCGCTCAATAGTATGAATACATTCACTTAGCCAATAACATGCAAGGACGAAAAAACAATTTTGATAGTGAAAATTAACCTCAACGTCACTCTCAATATCATTTTTATTCAGATGATGATCATTGATTACTGATGAAATATAATAGACGTTTTTGAGTCCATTCAACATCATTATGTACACATTTTTGTCTTCAATCTTCAATAACAATGAGTTAACATTCTCCAAATAGAGTTGCATTAAAAATTACTTTAACAATTGCTGATTTTTAACGTTGCTTTCAACGATGAAAATATCAGACGATCATTGATAAAATGTTTTGAATAGTTATCTAGCACACTGCAGTACTATATATGTCTAGAAGAACGTGCCTATTTTTTTTCAACAAGTCCGGAAAGTGTTCACTATAATGCAGTTTTTTTATATCTCAAAAATGATAACAGATAATCAAAAACGAAAATTTCTAGACGTTTTCTTTTTTTTTGTATTAAATCATATAAAAGTCAGTTGTTTTCATGAGATTTCTATAGAATAAAGCTGACATGACATTCGTAATGTCATTCAAAGTATAAAGCAAAAAATAAAAGAGAACATTCATCGGAAATATATTTAAAAATATATATCTTATGTCATATTGTCTTGTATATTTAACAATCATTTTTTTTTTGTCAATTCTAATATCAACATTAGAATAGTTAATCTATTTATTTTTGTCGTATATCTTAAATAAAAATCTATTCTAATTTTAATATCAATTTTAAAATTATGTAGATATATGATTATTCTTTATTTTGTCACTATCAATCATTCAAAGAAATAATTGACCTAATTAAATTATATTTTGTCATCAATCTTATGTAATCGAAAATGAATATTATATTATTCGTATAAATATAATCAGAGCATGACGTATTTTAATCAAGAGATGAATAAAACATATTTATTATTAAATGTTGGAATTTTCTTCTAAAACATAAACATTTGTTTTTTTTATAGAATTTTGTTTTTTCTTTACAAAGAAGAATTTGATCATAAGATGTTCTAAAAATAAAAACATTTATCTATTTCATATGAATGCAGATTTAAGCCTCCCCCCCTCAAAAAATGTTCGTTTTCATCAAAAATTTCGAAATTGAGATAATTGTATAGAAAGATAGCCCGTCTTCAGATCTTTCAGAAACAATATGATTTTTAAGCCGACACCCCCGTTTCGGACAAGATTTTTGATGATTTCCGTTAACGTCGTCTCGAAAAATATGCTTATTTCGAAAAAACTGAAAAATGTTTTTCGTTTTCTCTCAGTTTAGGCTTTCTGAACCGCGCAACTCATTTTTCTCTGTCCAAGCTCATCAAATATATTTAAATTTTTTTTTGTTTGAAAGAGCATCTCAGAATGCAGTGCAGTACAGAGTCATTTTTTTTAAATTACGCTTGTTTTTTATTATATATACAGACACAGACACCCATTTCTGGCGCATTTTTTCAGTCATTGAACTTGTGATCCCCTTTTCCCGTTAAAAAAGTAAGAATTTTAAAAAAAGGACTCTGTACTGCACTGCATTCTGAGATGCTCTTTCAAACAAAAACAAAAATTAAATATATTGAAAGAGCCTAGACAAAGAAAAATGGATTGCCAAATGAGCTATTTTGACCCTTGTTTGGTTCATATCTCTGTCAAGCATCAGGGTATCGAGCTGAAAATTTTACCACAGCCTCCTCACTTCAGCCCTAACATATGTTCCAAGTTTCAGCCCATTTGAACGTTCCTGGACTGAGATCGATACTTGAGGGGGGAAGGCCTTAAATATTTCTTGTATTTCAAACTTTGAAATATATTGACGTAGAACAGACATCATCAAATGTGAATTAAAAATAACAATAATTAATCAACATAACCTTAAACAATCTACGATCGCCTACATTCATAATATGACACACTCTGATTAATAATACAAATCATGAAAAAAACAAACTTAACCTTCAGACTATATTTATATTTGTAGTTTGCTAAAGTACGTAGGTAGATAACATGTGCGCTATTCAAATTTAGATCAGTTTTCTTTCTCATAAATAAACAAATCAATGATATTATGTTTTTTCTCTTTTTTCTTGCTTACCTTACCTGTATAGGATGCCTATTGATAACAGATGAATACGAACTGTATTTAACGTACGTTTTCTTAGTCTAGTTAAAGAACGATATGACAGATTATCAGTATATATATATATATATATAATTTAGATTTTTGTTTTACCATTAAATTATTTGACATAGGTGAAACGATTGACTATTCTTTTGTTTTCATTTAATTACAAATATAAATCTTCATTCATACAATCGACAAACATCGACATGGATTTTCATTCTCATTCATTATTATTAAAACAATCTGAACAAGAATATATTCAATCAAAAATATCGAATATTAATTCTAAACAGGTATTTATACAGAACGAAAAAACAAAATATTCTTTTTATAGAAATCTATTATAGATTTTATCACAATTCATACATAATCGTTTAAAACATCCTCGAAAACCTTGTAGTCCTTATCTTATTCGAAATCATGATCGTAATCGTCAACGCCGTCGTCGTCGTGTACCAGTAACATTTGACATTACTCATCAATCTAAAAATTCAAATGAAATTAAAAATCAATTGAATCTAAATAAGAACAAAATTAATAATGAATTATTAAAACCAATTGAAAATATTGAACAAGAAGAAAATCATTTGAATAATTCACATGAACAAATTAACGAACAACAAGCACAATTACAGAGAGCTATATATAATGCTAAACAAACACCATTAATTCCTTTTATTGTTGATATAGATTATCATTCATTATTTGATTTATCACAACAACAGAATGATCTATTGACTAATATTTTAAGTTTAGTACATAATGTTAATGAAGAGTGTTCATTTTTCGAACAATTTAGAATTTAAATGGAATAAAAGATATTATTTATGTATATTTTATTTATCTAGATTACAAATAAATTGTTAAAATATTTCAAAAAAAAAAAAAAACTTTTTTGTAAAACTCTATTAGTGTTAATAAACGCCATCTGTAATGTAGTGTTTTATGATATTCTTATTTTTAGAATTACTACCAATCATTTTTTCTTGGAGAATTTTAACTTCCGACTTTTTATTTATATGAAGTATTTCCAATATTAACTACCTCAAAGAGAAATAAAATATCCCAAATACTTTCGATTTTGAAGAAGTATTATGTTTTACATTTCATTGTCGAATAATAAAATATCTTAAAGTAGAGAAAAAAGGATTTTGCTTATTTGTTGCGATGTTATTGACAAATTGTTCTTCTTACTCTTTTTTATTTAGTCTAATTATTGACGAGATTATGATGTATTTTATCTTTTATTCTTGTCAAATTTATCATCGCAATCTCATTTTGTTTTTTGCTCTAGATTTCCAATCTTATTTCTTATATATATTTTCTTTATTAGTTCTTTTCAAATGTATTACATTAAGAATTTCAATCGAATTAACTTCATATTCAAGGACCCAGAAAATAAAAGAAAAAGTATTTCGGATGATGGTACTGGCATATAAAAATTCTTCTCGTTCAAATTAAACGATTAAAACAAACATTTTCATCAACTTTATTGCATGATTTTGATAAAAAAATCAAATTCATTACATTTTCTTCATGAAAATATCGCTTTTAATCCATAAATTCGAAAATCATGAATTCTTATATGCTTGTTTGATCGTCCGAAACGTCAGTTTTTTCATGTTTTTGATATAAAACTTACGAAAATCATGGTTTCTTCATATTTTTTAAGTTCACAGATGGCCTTGCGACAAATGTATAAACAAAAACAATAATAAATACTTTCATTTTGTCTTTTTATACATATTCGTCATTATTAGTGCCTTGCAAAATCAAACTTTTTGACTTCGAAAATTCTTTTTGGACTGGGATATAAAGTTCTTGTTGTGCTACTTGCTGTAGAGACTGTCTTTCTAATAGCTTTTTTCTTAAAACTTATCTATGAGTCTATGGAGTAGTGTATTGTTGTTCATTACTTATAACAAATCAAGAATAATGTTGTTACTATGAAAGAGTAAAAACCCTTGACGGTTTTTACTGATCTAACTCTGAAAAAATTCTTTATGATCACTCTGTCGAAGTCGAAGTTCAATGCAGAATTCTCATTATTATCTGTATGGTATTTTTCCATATTGGTTTTTTCTCTTCAGGAAGAATAAATTTTTCATAACAAGACGCGAATAATAATAACTTTGTCTTTGTTTTTATTGCTTAAATTTTTTTTTGCTCTGGTACTATGTATTATTTAGAACAAAATACTAACAAATACTTTGTCAATGGAAACAAGATATCTATTTGTACTTTGTTTCAGATTTCTATTTATTTATTCTAACTAAATAATACAAGAGAAAATTGTTTTATATTAATACATACAAACTGAAGAGTTTAATAAACAAAAAAAAAAAAACCAACACAAAGAACATAATTATCCGCAGTATTTCTCATTTAATATTTTAGAAAAGTATGTTTTTTTTTGTCATGGAAATTTCCATTTCATATAAACTTTGTCATAAACACATCTATCATAAAATTTAATTGATTTGATATTATCTTTTTTCAATATTTCTTCTAGAATTACTTCCATGACGTATATAAAGAATTCAAATATTTTTAATTGTATTATTAGAAAATTTTGTCATTCATGTACAATATTTATAACATTGAAGATAACTTATGTAGAAAAAAATCCTTATGAATCATAAAAATGACAAACAAAATGTTTAGTTTAAAAGTCAATGAGAGTTTTTTCTTTATGTTAAACTGTAGATTAAATCTTTTAAATAGCCAATATTCATTTGTTCTATTTGTTATGTCACATGGTCGTAATTATCATCGATCAATTATAAAGGTTTGTGAATATGATGATTCAGAAATACCCATGAATAATTCCTCCAATATCAATCAAAATTACAACAGAGTAAGTTTTATGTTTTCTTCCTACTGTTCTTTCTGGCATACATTTGTTGATTCATGGCTTTTTTCACAAGGGCATCTAAAAGAAAAAGAAATTCATAGTCAGTCATTTTTCTATAGGTTATTTGAGAGTTTCTTTTTTTTCCATTTTTACTTTACCATATAATGGCAGACAATAGAAAACCTTTATTTCCGATGACAAAGACCTATAATGAATTTCAACAAGAATTTATACCAGATCAATGTTTTGTAAGTTTTTGAAAAGAATAAATTCGAATTTATTAAAAAAATTAATTCATTCAATAAAGCATCTCGATTTATTTTTCATTCTTTTAGTCTTTAATCAATCCTGTTGTTGCATCAAATGATATTGATGACGAAGAAATAGCTCAACAACATCAAGTAGAAGGTTTTTATGAAGTTTTAAAGCTTGCTAATGAACCAACACCTGAAATTATGCCTTCAATTGATATGAGACCATTAGAAGAAATCGATGCGGACACTGCATATGCTTTTCAACTTCAAGAAGAAGAATATGCAAAAAATAGTATTCCACCATTTCTAACACATGAACAAAATTCAAACGATACAACAGCTTCAAATACTATTGTCAATGTTGATGATCATCTCATAGTTAGTGATGCAGAATATGCAGCACATTTACAAGCAGAAGAAAATCAAAAACAACAGAAACATAATCAACGACGAATACCACATTCAACAACTAATCGAAATGATCAATCTAGGGAATCTGAGAATATACCTATTCCACCTTTTCTTAACCCTACAAATCATCATCCTTCATTTGGTGAAAATAATAATCGTTTTATCAATGATCTTGCATCCTTAATACGAACTCTTGCCTCTAATAGTCTACCATCTCATGATCATAGAAATAGAAATGGAAATATTGAAAATACCGAAGAAGATTTTGGTCCAGATGATTATGAAGTAAATTATTATAGTTTAAAATTATATTTTTATCAAGATTTATACTTTTTTTTATTTTTAGAATTTACTTGAACTAGATGAGTCAGTCAGGAAAAAAGTTTTATCTAATGATGAAATTAATAGATTACCAACTGAAACATTTCGTCGTTTACCAAATACAAGTGCTGAAGAAAATCAATGTAGTATTTGTTGGGATGACTTTGAACTAAATCAAACATTACGTCGATTACCATGTGTTCATCGATATCATCAAACTTGTATAGATAATTGGTTAAAAGTAAGTCAATCTCTATTTGTATTTCATTTTAAAAATCTATTTGACTTGATTTTTTTGTTTTTGTTTAAATTTAGACTAGTAATTTGTGTCCTGTTTGTCGGAACGCCATCAATTAAATAATCAATAAATAATTGAATATATTGTTCTCCATGATAATAAACTTTCACATCGTGAATTATTTTCTGGTTTTTTTTTGTCCCAATATACAATTTTTATTGATAATATGATTATATTCTTCAATAAAAATGTGATATTTTTACTCTTGTAAATAGTCTATTGTCATTATTTATATCATTTCTTTTTCTTTATACTTCAATAAAAAATAATCATGATTATAATTTTTATATGTATCTACTTTTAAAATAGTTAATCGATGTATATATATCAAAATCTAATCATTTAAGATTTTAAAAACGAATGCATTTTCTACAATACTAATCAACAATATAAGATCAACGTGTGATACCAAATATTTCACTTAAGTCGAAATCATAGATTGCATAGCTAATGAAGTTCTCTATCAAACGTATTCTATGATCGAAGTTTCATAGATGGACTATGAGAGGAAGGTTGTAAAAAATCGAATACGATAGTTTTTAGATCCCAGAAGACTGTATGAAAATTAGTTTCTAAGAGTATTATCTTAAAAAAAAACGAGATTCAGAATAAAATGAGAGGTAGAACTTGTCGACTTCAAAATTTTCGATTACAATAAACAATTGTTATGAGAGTGTAAATAAAACAGCTATCGAAAAAGTGTTCTTATCTATCAAAAAGAATATTTAAATTTTAGTGTACATCTGTATCATTGGAATACAGGTTTGCAACGAGCACTTCTGTCTACAACAAATAGACGAATTTGATTGTAAGTTCTAAACTGCTATTCTTTTCTTCTGTATCTCTGTAACTCATTTGAATCATTAACTGTTACTCAATGGCCACCCAAATAGAATAATGAGAACTGTCGTTCAGCAAAAGATGATGACGAATGTTTAATCTTGCTTTTTTTTGTACAAGATAATAGTTTATCTATATCTTGTTCGTATTTATCAAATTGTGATTCAATACATTTTCAACTTCTATTTTTGATCATTTCTTTTGTTTTCGATGATTTTTGTGATCGAGAGAGCAAACCAAATAAAAAAGCATCTGCATTCGATTCGACCTACTTTCTACAAAATTCAATTAAGATTTGATTCAATTTGACTGACGAAGAGACCTCTTCAAATATCCCCATCCGATTTCAGTTAGGTTTTTGTTTGTAGATACTATATAGTGTTTTAATAAAAAACTTTAAAGAATTTAGGTTTCTAATGATAACTAGACTAGTCTTCACAAAAAAAAATCAGAAATTTTGAACAATATCTCTTCAAGCTATGAGACTTCGAAGATATAGATTCTTTTCCATGGATAATGTATACAGCATGCATTTTTTTGAAAGCTTTCTGTCTCGAAGAGGTTTTATTCAAATCTTCTGAATTTTTTTATAGAAGCTAATCTAGTTGAGCTCTGTATATTCATAAAGTTTCAGATCAAAATTCGAATATAAAAGTTTTCCGAAAACTTGAGACCTTATAGAAAACAGATATATTAAACTTATAAAAAATATTAATAGGAACTGAAATCCTTTGAAATTTTTTATTAGAACACTATGTAGTATCTATAAGTCAATAAAAATCATTGAAATCTGAATGGAACTTCTGGTGAAGATTTTTCGTGAGTTGAATCGAATGATTTGTTTATTCAACTTGATTTCGGTCTCTATTTTTTAATATGGAAAAAATAAGCTTTCTCAAATAAATAATCAACTATTTTACTAATTATTATTCTGATTATCTTCAAAAATGAAGCCTCGAGATGAATGATTGCATATTATCGACATCTGTTGAAAGTTTTCTATATACTCAAAATAGATCGATAGAAAACGAAAGAGAACAACTAACTAACAGAGCGATCCATTCGTTCTCAGCATTTATGACTCATGATATATTAATATTTCTTTCTCAAGGTACTTTCTGGAAAATCATAGAATGTCTACAAATAATCAAAATGATCAAAAAATTCCATTTTCAACAGATCATCCAACGGATCAATTACAATTAGAAAATATTATTTCATAAAAGAATCTTCTTTAAAATATTCATATTCTTATATTAATATAGATGGTGTATTAGAATGATCTCAATAAATTGAAGAAATCAATATTGATCTAGCTGATCAAAGTGATAGCTTTATTAGAAGATTATTTATTTATTCAAGAAAAAAATTTTTGTTTTTAGTTTAGAAACCGATGATGAAAGTTTTCTTGATTCAGGTTTACTAGAACATTTAATTGAATGTTATCCAATAACAACTGCTGAAGATGTATCAGTGATTAGTATTCTATGTGATATTTGTCTAAATGAATATAAATCAGATGATAAACGATGAACTATTCCGTATTTACATAGTTTTGATAGTAAATGTATTGATAAATGGCTTAAGGTTATGTTTTAATTTTTTTATTATGTTTAAACTAAATATTTTTATTTTCAACTTATAGATAAAATCAAAATATTCAATATGTTGAAATGATATATGAAAATTCGAATAGTATTCTGATGAAATCATATGAATATTTTCTTGTTATTCTCAGAGAGTTCTTTTTTTTTTATTTCTTATAAAAATTTATCATCAATAGAACATCGATGATATAAATATTCTCATGTTATTTATATTAATTTCTATACTTTTTATTATTCTGTATTCTTTTAGTGAAGGTAAATTATTTCTTTTTTTCTGAGGAGGTTTTGATTTTATTATTTCTAGAATGGATTATTCATATATATATATATATATACACATACAGGCAATGAACATTTGGCTGGAACTGATAGTAATATTTTTCTTCGTTTATTTAATTCAAAATATAGTTATACTCATAAATATAAATTAAAACATGATGATTGGAAATATTATTTTTCCATTAGAAAATTTATTTGAGTATGATGAACATGATCAATTTCGAATTTTTATTGATAAACTTGGATTTGTAGAAAAAATTCATGTAAGAAAATTTGATTTTCTCTTTTTCTTTTTAAAAATTTCAAAATAAATAAAATTTAAATTGATGAATTTACTAAAAGTGAAAAGCATAATAATTTAGGTTGTATTAACAATAGAGTTCATCAGATCCGGATCCGGAATTGACTCGATAGACTCTAGTTAACATTCTTTCATCATAGTAAATATATGACATTATAAACACATATAGCATATGCTGTTTTTTTTTTCTCCGATGATATAAGTTACGTGGCTTTTCTTTCATATGGAGAAAAAACATAAATAATTTTAATTATTGACCTTAACTTAAATCAACAATAGAATTTACTTGTAGTATGATCACATAGAAATGTATAGTTTCAGTTTACTGACTGTTGATTTAATGTCGTTAATGCATACGGACACCAGTTTCCACTGAAGCACTGAAACACACTGCTACAAAAAAGACATTTTGATAGAGTTGGTGTCTTGATATTACAGCAAACGTGGATGTCAGTATTTCAGTATTTACATCAACACTACACATCGCTATCATCAACCTATTAAAAAAAAATTGACAGAAAATATATAAGAAAAAAAGCCAAGAGAATTTGCTTGAAATTTTATTTTATGATGAAATATTTGTATAATTAGATTATTTCCATGCTAGAATTTATTATACATAGGAATTATTTATATAAACTAAAACATGAATATGATCAAAATTCCGTTAAAATTTAATAGTTTTATTTTCTTTTGTTATATAATATTTTGTATTAAATTAAAATATTCTTCACCGAAAATATTATTCAATATTAAGTAATCCTATTTTCTCTTGTTCTATTTATATACTCAATAGATGTACTATTTTCTATGAATAGCGTTATTTACACGTCTGGCCGTAAAAACGTTAATTTTCAACAACATCAATCACAGAAAAGATGATTAATGAATAGACGACATAGATCATCGAAAGAATTTTCTATTCAACTACAGACTCACCTATATTTAAAAAAATAATGAATAAATTGCAAAAAATACTTTTCCAATTACATTAGAAATTGTCTTGTAAACAATAAAAAATTTTATTTTGTAGAATATTTAAAGAATTTTACACGCGTAAATCAATTATCAAAGTATTTTTATTCATAATTCATATTCATAGTGTCCGATGCTTTTTTACATAGAATAGAATATCAAAAATCAAAAGCATACTTTTTTTTGCTTATATTTATTAAAAACACATTGAAGCAGATCTATAATATTGTAGTTATAAACTAAAATAATACGAATCTTCTCGATATGCAAAAAAGATTTACTGAGCCTTGAAATATTTCGTATTCTATTGTTCGCAGTTTGATTTATTTCCTTTTTTTTTTTTCTACAATATGCAGTTCAAATCTTTACTCTCATTTATTATTATATCCTTCGATCGTGTATCATCACTCAATCAAGATATTAAAAATTATCATAATAAGGAAAATAAAACGAGTATTTATCTTATAATTTTATTAATAATCATAAAAATGTCTTAATATAAAGCATAAAAATATCAATAAAAAATAATCCATGAATGATAACTTTTAAGGATTGATGTTTGCTAAAAGTATTTTCAAATATTTTAAGTTCGACGTAATAATTTTTCTATTATTTCAAGCTGATTAGCTTTTAGATCGAATTGTCATAGAAAACAATCATGATCGTATTAAATTTACATTTAAATATAATTGTTGGCTTCGAAAAGAACAACAATATATATATATATATATAACTATCTGTCTTATCAGGTAATAAAATTTATTCTTTTCTTTCGAAAATGAAATATCAACTAAATAAAACAAAAATATTTGATCTTGAATAAATGTTACGTTCTTTCTATAGATCTACACTTTCTTGACAAAAACAAGTCATTGAAAAATAATCAAATGATTTTAATTGTTCTTATTGTTTCAATTACTTCGATAACATGTATTATATATTGCATTTGTGAATACTATAGTCATCATCAACATCGACATTTTTCATCGGTGCAAAATCAATGTGAATCATTGATTCTTAATTGATATCATTTACAAGTATCAGAATTATCACCATCACAAATTTTAAAGAAAAAATATTCAACATACATTACAATCTAATCATGATCGAATAGGTATTATTATTCAATTACCAATGATAATTTCAACAGATGAACTACCAGTTTATATAGGTATGATATTTATTATTTTTATATCATGATGACTTGTTTTTTTTTTCTTCTTTTTCTTTGTTTTTGATGGTTGCCTTATAGATTTATTTCCTAATTGAAAATATTATCTTGATGTGATTAAACCTATGCTTATCTTGTTGTTTTTGGTTTTTTTTTTGCTTTTATTATATTGTACAGTATTGTCTAGTCAAACACGTATTTCGTTTTAAAATATCAGATTACTGAATTATTTGATTCTCTCAAGGTCTCTCTCTTTTTTTTTTGCAATCGGTTATTTTTTTTTTTATCTTACTCTCTCTGTTTCTACATCCTTACCATCGGCACTTGTCTTTTTTTTTTTGTGCGTTTCATATTATAAAATTTCTAGGCTGGATTTCTTTTTTTTTCTTTCTCGTTTTCTATTCGTGTTCTTCTTCTTCTTCTTCTTCTTCTTCTTCTTCTTCTTTCTCTTTTTTTCTTCCCTACTTTAATGCCGCTATCACACTATCATCACAGTTCTTCGCTTCGCTATTGATAAAAAGACTTTGGTATGTGATGGTGGCTTTTTTTCGCTTTACTATTGCGAACAGTGTCGAGCGATACAAGCAAAAAGCTTATGCGTGTGCGTGAAGATTGGCCGTCGTTGTTGCTGCCGAACGCGCACTATTGTCGGTAGCAAAAATATAGAATACAAAGAACGAGAGAAGCTGCATAGTATCTTGGCAATGATGTAAAACGGCGTGTGTGTGTGTATGTGGGAAACGACTGCACTTGCGCATCAGTTTTTACTCTCTTTCACATATGTTTAGTTCCGCGTTATCATCTTTATATCGTCGTCATTTCTTAACAAGAAGAATAACAATAGTCATGATTCTATCGTATGTGACAAGATCGTATGTTTTCTATTTTTTTTTCTTTCGTTTGTTTTCTTATTTGTGATTTTTACTGACAAAAGACAGCGACAGTGTTTGATACACAGAGATAGAGCGATAAATCAAAATAAACTATCATCATAGTTTGAAAGAAAATTATACAATATCCTTTTAGTTAGCTAAAATTAAAAAAAAAAACAATTTATATGATAATCATATTGATAGTTTTCGTTTGTTTTTTGTTTTGTTTTTATTGTGATTTAATATGAAACGATATATTTACATCCAAAATAGTAGTTTATATTAAAGATGTTTTTATGTACTACATTGATGAATTAATATAAGTGTAAATGTTTTAGCGTAAGTTGATTTGTAGGTTTTCTCTGTCTAAACATTTTTAATGGGGTGTTTGCATTTGTAAAGAATGAAAAGAGAGAAGAAAAAAAGAAAGGTATTTGTAGTTGTTATTGATATAATAGGTAGAAAAGTTGAGTATTCTTTTAATTAAAATAATACTAATCTTCACAAATAAATTCATTTTTTTTTTTTGATGATATTAAACCATCTAAGTATAATTATATTAAATAGAGAGAAGAATAAATAGAGAACTGACGATTTAGTATCGATACAATAAAATAGTACAAAAAAAAAAAAGAAAAAATGAGATGTTGATCATGATCTGTCAATCGAGATATATTTATTGTTTATGTTGAGTACATAAGTTTCTTGTTATCGTCCGATCATAGTTTTAATGATAGAGAAAAGTGGATCAAAAGTCATTTAATCAAGAAAAGAAAGAAAAAAGTCTTATTCTCTATTTCTATCTTTCTTTCTTTCTTTTTTCTTTCTTTCGTTGTCGAATATGATGACTTTCGATCGAGAACAGGACACTATTTCCTCTATTCTCCGAGCGGGTTACTTGCACATTTACGAGTCGAAGAAATGACATATGCGTGTTGATGCGTGCGTTTGCTTAGTATTCTCTTCGGTTTTTTTTTTTGCCGACATTTCTTATTATAGCAACGCGTTTTGTTTGTCCTGGAGAAGATAAAATGGACTCTATACATGCAACAAACATCTGTAAAGATCAAAAACTTGTATCCATATCAGATATATAAACCTTGAAAAATAAAATCTATTATCGTGAAGATCATAAAATAACACGAGCGTGATATATTTTATGAGCTAAATCAGTTTGCAACGACGCAGAAAAAAAAACCTTCGATATTGTTCGTTGTAATCGTAAATATTTGAATTTATATTCGTTCTTTTTTAGTACAAATGTAATTTTTTTTTTATCTTATTCTTACATCAATAAACATGAGACAGTATTATAGACTATTTTCTTTGGGCGTTTTTTTTTTTACCACGTTAGTACTTAATCACGATTGTTTTCTACTGTTGATATCTTCATACTTGTCATGTTAGCGTTAATAATTATTTTAACGACCAATTAGTTCAATAAAGATATTCGCGTAAAAATAAGAATAGATCAGTTGTCAGAGTTCCTCTTTGTTTTTTAAATTTTTTTAATAAGATAAGTAGTAGAAAAAAAAAACAATCCATTCGATGGATTGCACAGGAATTTTTTGCGGTAATGATCAATCCAGCTGAGTAAAAAAAAAACCTCAAGAGAAAAACGAGTAAGATTAGTTATTGGCTTTGAGCAATATGTATATTTGTATTATTTACCTTGAATTTCATAAATATTTGTTAGTCGAAAAAAAACAACAACAATAAAATTTTCTGCTTATATAATACTTAATTAGCGAGTCCTATATCAACTTTATCCCTTATTATGATGATGACGTCATTTGTCGCTTTTGTTTCGCTTATGGCAAAAAAAGCTATAGAATATTTCTCGACAGCTCTTAGTTTTTTTTCTTCTTTCTTCGTCTGGATGCGATCGATCGCATCAACAATACCACCATCATCATCTCAAATCAGTAATGAAAGAAAAGAATATATTATTTCTTCTTCTTTTTTTTTTTTCTTTCTTTTTTTTTTGTTTCTTGTTCTAGATATTTTGTCATATCGAATATTTTTAGATCTCGATCGTTAGTGAAGATCGAGTAATAACCTTTTCAACATATTATATTTTATCTCGCTAAACAATGGTAAGTTTTAATAATGTTTTTCTTTATATTTAGTTTCTTGTTTTGTTTTTTTCTTCGGATGATTCTAGGCTGAAGATAAAAAAGCAAAAGCGGTCAAAAAAGGTGAACCTGATCTAGACGATCTTAAACGTGAACTTGAAATAGTAATAGAAAATTAATTTTAATATATAAATTATATATATATATATTAATTTTATAGGATGATCATAAAGTATCGGCTGAAGAACTTTATCGACGATATGAAACTGATCCAGAAAGAGTAAAATAAATTAGTTTTTACTCATTATTATATTTATATTTATACATATATATATAAATAGGGTTTAACAGATGCAAAAGCAGCTGAAGTTTTTGCACGTGATGGTCCTAATGCATTATCACCACCTAAAACAATACCAGAATGGGTCAAATTCTGTCGTCAAATGTTTGGTGGTTTTGCTATGTTATTGTGGCTTGGAGCAATCTTATGTTTTATTGCACATGGTATTAGTGTAGCAACATATGAAGAAGCGGTCAATGACAATGTAAGAAAAAAAAAATTCATATTTTTGCTGGTATCTATATTTTTTTTTTTAAATAGCTTTGGCTTGGTGTTGCATTAACAGTTGTCGTATTTATTACTGGTTGCTTCTCATATTTTCAAGAAGCTAAAAGTTCGAGAATTATGGAATCATTCAAGAATATGTATGTTATTTATTGAGAAAAAAGAAAAGAAGATTAGTATTTAAAATTTTATTCTATTGTTATTTTAGGGTACCACCTGTATGTATATCAAATAAAAATATTTAAAAAAAAAAACAAATAATTATTGAGTTGTTGTTGTTGTTTTTTTATGTAATATTTTTATTTTTATAGCAAGCATTAGCAATTCGTAATGGTGAAAAAAGAAATTTAAAAGCTGAAGAATTAGTTGTTGGTGATATTGTTGAAGTTAAATTTGGAGATCGTGTACCAGCTGATATTCGTGTATTGCGAGCGCATGGTTTTAAAGTTGATAATTCATCATTAACGGGTGAATCAGAACCACAATCACGTGCACCTGAATTTACAAATGAAAATGCACTTGAAACAAAAAATTTAGCATTTTTTAGTACATTTGCTGTTGAAGGTTAGATTTAAAGCGCAACAAAAAAACATTGAATTTAATGATAATTTGTTTTTCTTCTAGGCACATGTCTTGGATTAGTTGTACGAACTGGTGATCGAACTGTAATGGGTCGTATTGCAAATTTAGCTTCGAGTAAAATAAAAAAATAATTGAAAATAAATTTTTAATAAATAAGAAAAAACTAAAACAAAAACACCTATTTCATTAGGTTTGGAAACTGGTGAAACACCAATAGCACGTGAAATAGCACATTTTATTCATATAATTACTGGCGTAGCTGTTTTTCTTGGTGTTTCATTTTTTGTTATTGCTTTTGCTCTTGGTTATCCATGGCTAGAAGCAGTCATCTTTTTAATTGGTATTATTGTAGCTAATGTACCTGAAGGTCTTCTTGCTACTGTAACTGTAAGTTATTGTTGAATTGCAAAGGATCTTATTTATTTATTTCTTTATAATTAAATTTAGGTATGCCTTACATTAACAGCTAAACGTATGGCAAAGAAAAATTGTCTTGTTAAAAATTTAGAAGCTGTTGAAACACTTGGTTCAACATCAACTATTTGTTCTGATAAAACTGGAACATTAACACAAAATCGAATGACTGTTGCTCATATGTGGTTTGACAATCGAATTGTTGAAGCTGATACATCAGATAATCAACAGAGTAAATTTTGCACGAAAAAAAATTTTTGTTTTGTTTTTTATAATTTTATTCTTATGTTCTTTAGATGCAACATATGATAAAAGTTCACCGGGATGGGTAAATAATCAAAAATTTTAATGACAAAATTTTTGTTTGTTTGTTTGTTTGTTTCTTTAGCTTGCTCTTAGTCGTTGTGCTATGTTATGTAATCGAGCTGATTTTAAACAAGATCAAGATAATTTAAAACGACCTGTTTTACAACGAGAATGTAATGGTGATGCATCAGAATCTGCTTTATTAAAATGTGTTGAATTATCAGTAAGAAAACAAAAAATAATCAATATATATATATATATATATTAATCTTATTAACATTTAG